ATACCTGCAAATACAAGCACAGCACTGAAAATAGACCAAGAAAGCAGCTTTAGTTCTGCATGGTTACATGTGGGAGGATGGGTTCAGTGTTCAGGCAGCCATTTATGCTGGAATATGTTTTGTTTAGTCACCTGATATCATGTTACAAGCCCAACTAGTCATAGAACAAACTCTGGGGAAGCTGAGTTTAGAAAGACAGTACATCCCTGCTTTCAAAAGGCCCATTACGTAACTTTAAAGGGCACACCCACAATGCCAAGTGGCGGAAGTGAGTGGCATTTTTGTTAAACGCTTTCACTTCTGTTTCACAAAAATGCGGCTTGAGTCCCCAACATGCAATGGATTGATGAACAGCGGTTTAAGACCTTTTCCATGGGACATCTAGATAGCAGAGCCTCTCTATGAACCGGTATTGGATTCCTTCCCCTGCTTTACTCAACGCTGCTTAACAGGATCTATGCAATGTTTGCGCAATAGATGCTTTCATAGTCCACAATACAACATGATTCATTTAAATGTGCTGGTTCATTTGGAACACCCAGTACTTTTAAGTCAGTATCACTAGATTCACCAAAAACAACCATAGTCATGCCAAAACAATCACCTTACCAAAAATACCATCTTGGTAACACCAAAACCTGTTAAATTTTAAATAAAATAAATCTGTTAAATAATTAAAGTTACTTTAACACAAAATACTTGTACCCAGCCAGAATGATTCATTCAAAAAAAAAAAAGTACTTTTTAAGTCAGTATACTATAAAGAGTAGGAAAACAGATACTATAAAATACCACGTTGCCAAAAATGTCATTTTGTTGACACCAAAAATTGTTAAATACACTATTTTAACACATACATAATTATTTTGAGATGATAACCTGAATGGTTAAAATGTTAGTTGACTATATAAGTATAATATGCCAAAAATGGCATTTTGGTGACACCTAAAATCTGTCAAATATACTACTTTAACGCACATAATTTCAAGATAATTAAACACAAAATTCTAGTATCCCACTAGAATCATTAAAAAGCAGTACTTTTATGTCAGTGTACTAGTAAAACAATGATTACCTTGCCAAAATAGTCGCCTTACCAAAAATGTACAATCTTGGTTAGACCAAAGACTGTTAAATCTACTCTTTTAACACAAATGTCATGTCTGCTTTTGACAGCAAGTACTAAAACAAAATATTTGCACTCTACCAGCTTCTATACATCCGTCGATGGCCTGTGTGTATTTCTCCAGCGCGTCGCCAAACTGTCCATTTTTGAACAACATATTGCCCTCATTTTTGAGCCTGGCCAGTGGAGGAGGAAGGGCCCCACACGGGGCGTCCAGATTACAGCTCGCCCCGGCAGTGCCACTGTGCGCCGGACCAGAGCCCTGAGGCTCATCCTGGCTCTTGCCGGCTGGAAGGGTGCCATTGACTGCCGGGCTCTTCCCTTGGACTTCCTTTGAGTTGGCTGTGTTGTTTCCATGGCTCCTCTTGTACCCCGGGGTCCCAGGTTGAGAGTGCGGGCCCCCTCCCTCTCCGTGACCGGGGGCCTTCTTCTGTGAATTCCCCATGGCTGCCCTCAGTCCCTAGCACAGTACAGCGAGCTCCCGTCCTCACACACACACACACACACACTCATACACTCGCTCGCTCTCTTCCTGTTCCCTGCGCAGACTGTGAGGCTCAGCCAGAAGTGGGAGGACGCGTGACATCACGCGGGGGGAGGGGCTGCGGAGCTGCTGCAGAGTGGGGGAGGTTTCCTGTGAAACAGCAGCTAGGGGAGTTCAAACAGCCCTGCTGTATTTCATTGTGCGGAAAATCAGCTGCGGAGCCCTTCAGCTGACACTGCTCAGGATCTCTGCGCGCTTGAAGTTTACTGTTTGTGTTATGGCTTCTGAACGACTTTATGCTGTCATTTCTGTGCTTTATACTGTCAAAATAAAGCTCATGCGCTAAAGGACAAAAGCTTGGAATAATTAGAATTTTTGAATGTTCTGGAAAGAAGCCTTGTATAGTCACAGGGGCCGCATTTATTTGATCAAAAATACAGTAAAAAACGTAATATTGAGAAATATTACAAATAAAAAATAACTCTTCCATTTGAATATATTTTGAGCAAAGCTGAATTTCCAGCACCGTTGCTCCATTTTTCAGTATCACATGATCCTTCAGAAATCATGAAAATACGTTGAAAAATCAATAATTTAGCTGCTTGATATTTTTTTTTGATTAGATTTATTTCAGGATACTTTGGTGAATAGAAAATTTAAAAGCAATTATTTGAAAAAAAAAAAAATTGTAACATAAATGTCTTTACTGTCAAGTTCAATTTAATGCATCCTTTGCTGAATTAAAAAAAAACTGAAGATTGGAGTAATGATGCTTTACATCACAGGAATAAATTAGTTTTTAAAATATATTACAATAACAAATGGTTATTTTAAATTGTAATATTTCACAATATTATCTTCTTTTTTTTTGATCACGTAAATGCAGCCTTGACAAGCATAAGAGACTTATTTAAAAGAAAATATTTAAATTTTTTGACCACTAGTGTGACTGTTCATTGAAAGAAACAGAAAATTGATTTTGTGCTTATAACAGCACAAAATAACAGCAGTTATTCCGTTTAGCCATTTAAATTTTGGTTATAGTAACAAATTTTCTAGGCTACACTCAAATAAAGGTTCCAAAGGGTGTTTTTGCAGTGATGCCATAGAAGAACCATTTTTGGTTCCCCAAAGAACCTTTCAGTTCCTAAAAGAACCATTTTGAAGAACATTTTAGAAATCTTAAGAACCCTTTTTGACTATAAAGAACCTTTACTGCATTTGAAAGGTTCCATGGATGCCATTGAGAACCATTGATGCCAATAAAGAACCTTTATTTTTAAGCGTGTAGATATAAAGTTTTAGGATTATGAAACTGTCCAAATGTTAGCAAAGTTGTGATTCTGATCATCTTAATTCATACAGATTGTCAGATTTGTTGTGCAGTTTTTGCATCTATTAAAGCACAAAATGTTTTTTTTTCTTCACAAATTATGCTGGATCACGTGATCATCGGGTTTCACACAAACTTGTGGAATCTGCTATAAAACACAACAATGACAACAAATATTTTTACATTCTTTAATTAGGGGCCAAGCACACTGTTGGTGTTCCTCTTCTTCCGCTCTTGAGTCTATGGCAGCCCATAGAACTGATTGCGGGAAAGTTGTGAAATTTGGCACACTGATAGAGTACAGTCAGAACAGTCACCACTGCAAATTTGGAGTCTAACTCAAACTCTCTAGCACCACCACTTGTCCAAAGTTTCACTCATGTTTATGCTAATAACTTTTGAACTGTAAAGCACAGAAGGAAAATTATTTTTCCTCTGAATCCTTGGCTCATGCCGAGTCGAATGAACTCCAAAATGTAAAAATTGTAAGGTTTAGTTTTTTCCCTATTTTCAATTGTTCGAAAAACATACTTTTTCTAACTCGTCCGATTTTCACCAAAATTGGCTCAGATCATCTTCAGACCATGCTGGCAAACAGTTATGGAATTAAAGTTGATTCATCAAACCATTCTTGAAAAACACGCAAACGAATTCGACGAAAAGCATGCAAAAATGGATGTGAGGCTATATCTCCACAATGGTTTGGCGTATTTATTTTGGCGTGTGTTATAACAAGCATGACTTGAGACTACCTGCAGTGTTTCGGTGCAGTGCCACCTAGTGGTCGGGAGATATGAAATGGCTATTATTGCTTATAACTTCTGAATGGTTTGACCAAAAATCACAAAACCGGTCTTTTTCGATTCGGTGGAGCATGCCGAATTTTACCATGTCAGCCATTTTGGCCGTCGGCCATTTTTAATTTTGTCATAAAATGCTATATTTTACGAACGCATTGACGTATCATTACGAAACTCGGTATGGTACTCAAAAAGTTTGGGGGCAGCGCCATCTTGTGGTCAAAAGTTATAATGAAATTTCCAAAAATGCTAATAACTTTTGCTTACATTAGCCTATTGTAATGAGACTGATGTTGATAGATTCCTTGTATCATGCCGAGAACATCGATACCAATTATGTCATAACTGGCCGAACTTCCTGTCCGCCATTTTGATTCATGTTGAAAACCTACCTTTTCGAACTCCTAGAGCGTTTGTCCGATTTTCACCAAATTTGACTCGGATCATCTTCAGACCAAGCTGGCAAAAAGTTATGGATTTCATGTCGATGTACGAAACGGTTTTCGTTTTTAGCACATCAACAAATTAGCTGGAAAGATGCCAAACTGCATCTGAGGCTGCATCTCTGCATAGCTTTGACATGACACCAAACTTTGTGTGTGCCATTGTCACCTCACACAGAACACACCAAATTGATTTGATTACAGCGCTACCTGTTGGTCAGAAGTGATAAGCCATTAAATCATATTACTAGAGGTTTTATTCATGTTTTTCAGCCATTTCAATTACAATCATCCTAAAATTGCTTTTATTACTCATGGTTGCATTTGGTCTGATGCTCCATGCCATGCTTAGCTCCTCATTTTGCCTCTGGAGTGCTTGGCCCCTTAATTGCTGCTTGCAGCTATATTTTATATTTGCAGCTATATTTTATATTTGCTTTTCAACAGGAATTCATGTGATTGGGTGAAAAATTTCCCCACACAGATTTAACAACAGGTTCACAAGTTGCTAACGTAAAATAGACCTATGTTGCTTGTGAAATTTCGGTAATGTAGCCGCACCTTAATGATGGCTGATAATATTTCCATTTCTAATGGGAAAAAAATCCCTTCATCCATCCTAAACTACAAGAACAACTCACTACTTGATTTGAGCAGGGTTTACACCAAATGATAAGTTAATTTATAATTCTAAACTGCAAATACAAAAAGAAAACATCCACTCAATTTTTTTGCAAATTGAATTTTACTCAATTTTGATCCATTACTGCCCATTCAAATTGTATACATGTATTTACACAGTCAAAGATAAAAAAAAAAAAAAGCTAATTCTAACAGGAAAACGGCAGATTCATCTCATCGGGCATCAAAAACAACCACTGGAAACAGGAGTTAAGGGAAAATATAATGAACACAGGAGGGTTAATACAGAAGACCAAAAAAAAAAAAAAAATCAGATTAAAATGTAAACATGACTATAATTACTTAATTAGTATGGCATATATGGGTGCTTTCACACTTGTCATGTTTGGTTCGATTAAAACGAACCCTGGTGCGATTGCTCTGTTAGTGCGGTTTGTTCGAGTAAGTGTGAACGCTGCCATCCGAACCCTGGTGCGCACCAAACAAGCGGACCGAGACCGCTGAAAAGATGGGTCTCGGTCCGCTTCCAAACGAACTCTGGTGCGGTTCGATTGATATACGAACGCAACACGGACCAAATACTTCTAAACGAACCAAAAACAGGAAGTAATGACAAGATGCGACGCTATGCGACATGATTTGGCGACATGTCATGGAGCAACGATGAGGTTGCAGGTGGTGAAAATAACACGCAAGAATGAGCGCGCTTAGTCCAGCAGGCGGCATTAGGCGTGTTCGACTTAAAGGGTTAGTTCACCCAAAAAATGAAAATTCTGTCATTAATTACTCACCCTCACGTCGTTTCAAACCCAGACCTTCGTTCATCTTCGGAAAATAGATGGTGCCATTTTGGAGAGTATCCGCTAGAGGTAAATTGTTCAGATCAAATCACAACACGAAAGGAAACAGTCCGTGTGACGCAGCTGACACAGAACAGCATACGCTGTTTACCTCTAGCGGATACTCTCCAAAATGGCACCATCTATTTTCCGAAGATGAACGAAGGTCTTACGGGGTTGGAACGACATGAGGGTGAGTAATTAATGACAGAATTTTCAGTTTTGGGTGAACTAACCCTTTAAAGCGCATTCAAGCCGACCAATCAGGTTGTGAACGTATCACTATGCCTTTAGGTTCGCCAGTGGACCAGGACCAAATGTATCATTTTCCTTTTTGGTCCGGACCAAATGAGCCAAACTACAAGTGTGAACACACCCTATATCTGAATCAAGAAACCATGGCAAGAGCTTAATTTTGTAATTATTAGAAGAATTAAAGTAGTAGTTCACCACAAAAAAAGTCTCCATTTATTCACCACCATATGCTCTATGAAATGCATAAGAATTGTTCTTTCTTGCACATTTCTGTTCTTCACACAGCGAGTATTCTACACAGCTGTAAAGCTCCAAAAAGGGCATCCGCGCTATATTTTACATTATTAACAGCAATTGCCATTGATTACACATTTTGTGATCAAGCGCAAACCTCCTTATTTGAATGAAAGAATAATGATATAAATGGTCTGCTTTTCAAAATAACTTCAGACGACTTGGAAAATAACACACGAGTCAGATGGACCACTTTTATGGGGTTGTTGTACTATTTTTAGAGCTTTACAGATGACTATGAACTGTCATTGCATGGAAAAGAGCAGATTACAAGTTCTATTTTTCATAATGTAAAAAAGGTTACATCATATGATGTGGGTTATGGTTTTGGAACAACATGAGGGTGAGTAAATGATGGCAGTTTTCCCCCCCTTTTAGCCACTAAGCATTATTCAGCTGAGAAAGGATACATCTTTTGGTCCTCTTCTTGTACATGATTCTGTAACCGCACTCTCTGCATCTGATGGGATCTCGGGCCTTGATCTCATTTTCTGTGTGACACTCTGAAACACAGCAGCAGAAACACTGGACAGCTCAGGACAGACTGTGTGATGAAAGACAGGATTATCAATGACTAACACATGAAACACAGAACTAAAAGCATGAAGAGAGGAATTACCTCCACAAATATAGATCATAGGCTGCTGTTTAGGAGGCTGAATGTCTTTCTGAGAATCCATGGCCTGAAATACACACAAACAGCTACTACTTCATGCTTTATTATAATGATTCAACACTATAAATATATTAGATTAATTATTAAATTAATATATAGTACCGTATCTACTAGTTACATGAGCTAGACTTTACTCATATAAGAGTTTATTTATTATTCCAATGTGTACGGACACGCTCTACTATTACTCGTTAGATGCATTATTCTAAATATTTATATTAGATACAAAACCGCACAATATTATTCTTAATTTCATTTAGTAGTGTATACAGCCATGAAATGTAAACGTTCAACGCTTTACCTTTCACGCGTGAGCTCTCGGTTTGCTACAAAACGCTGCCGGCGTTCACGCATGCGCAGTACTTACAGAAAGACATCAGAGTAACGAACGCTGCTATTGGTTGAAACGAATGATTGACAGAAATCGAACGCCTGAGCTGGGCTCGTCAAACACTGGTGGGAGGGGCTTATAATTTTAGGCAGTTGCTGGTTTATGGGACTTTTATTTCCTTGTGTGGCGAAAAACGTCTGAAAGCGCGGAGACATCGTTAAGCGTATATTAATCGGCAACCGTACGTAATCTTGCAAATATAGAAGTATTTTTAATTTAATGAATTGTTTGAAAGTTTGGCTGTTAGTAATACGTCTTTAGTACTGCAATTAAAAATTGTGTTACGTATTATTATTATTTGTACAATAGCGTTATAAACATTCAATTACAAATAGAAATGTATTATTTTTTATTTGTATCCCTGAAGTGTTTTTCTGTGTCAGAGGTGTTGTTGACCGCCTCAAAACAGGAAGTAGTGAGTCACAGCAGCAGCGGCAGTCGCCGATCAATGTTCAGGTTTCAGGTAAGCCTGCTCTACTTACCTCTCAATATTGTGTTATGCTCTTATTGTGCAAGTATTGTTCAAACATTATCGTGCACAGTATCTATTCTTCTTCGTATTATGAATATTAATGCGTTGCTGTCGGTTATGATCCAGCCTCACCCTTTCAGTTTCTCTTTCTCGGCATTGGTTTATCATTACACGACACAAGATATATTTCATAACAAGTTTACAACACCCAGTTACCAAGTATATCGATTTCTAATTTTATTCCTAATTACTATCTGTCTGTCTATCTATCTATCTATCTATCTATCTATCTATCTATCTATCTATCTATCTATCTAATGTCTGTCTGTCTGTCTGTCTGTCTGTCTCTATCTATCTATCTATATCTATCTATATCTATCTATCTGTCTGTCTGTCTCTGTCTGTCTCTATCTGTCTGTCTCTGTCTCTATCTATCTATCTGTCTGTCTGTCTCTATCTATCTGTCTGTCTGTCTCTATCTATCTGTCTGTCTGTCTCTATCTATCTGTCTGTCTGTCTCTATCTATCTGTCTGTCTGTCTCTATCTATCTGTCTGTCTGTCTCTATCTATCTGTCTGTCTGTCTCTATCTATCTGTCTGTCTGTCTCTATCTATCTGTCTGTCTGTCTCTATCTATCTGTCTGTCTGTCTCTATCTATCTGTCTGTCTGTCTCTATCTATCTGTCTGTCTGTCTCTATCTATCTGTCTGTCTGTCTCTATCTATCTGTCTGTCTGTCTCTATCTATCTGTCTGTCTGTCTCTATCTATCTGTCTGTCTGTCTCTATCTATCTGTCTGTCTGTCTCTATCTATCTGTCTGTCTGTCTCTATCTATCTGTCTGTCTGTCTCTATCTATCTGTCTGTCTGTCTCTATCTATCTGTCTGTCTGTCTCTATCTATCTGTCTGTCTGTCTCTATCTATCTGTCTGTCTGTCTCTATCTATCTGTCTGTCTGTCTCTATCTATCTGTCTGTCTGTCTCTATCTATCTGTCTGTCTGTCTCTATCTATCTGTCTGTCTGTCTCTATCTATCTGTCTGTCTGTCTCTATCTATCTGTCTGTCTGTCTCTATCTATCTGTCTGTCTGTCTCTATCTATCTGTCTGTCTGTCTCTATCTATCTGTCTGTCTGTCTCTATCTATCTGTCTGTCTGTCTCTATCTATCTGTCTGTCTGTCTCTATCTATCTGTCTGTCTGTCTCTATCTATCTGTCTGTCTGTCTCTATCTATCTGTCTGTCTGTCTCTATCTATCTGTCTGTCTGTCTCTATCTATCTGTCTGTCTGTCTCTATCTATCTGTCTGTCTGTCTCTATCTATCTGTCTGTCTGTCTCTATCTATCTGTCTGTCTGTCTCTATCTATCTGTCTGTCTGTCTCTATCTATCTGTCTGTCTGTCTCTATCTATCTGTCTGTCTGTCTCTATCTATCTGTCTGTCTGTCTCTATCTATCTGTCTGTCTGTCTCTATCTATCTGTCTGTCTGTCTCTATCTATCTGTCTGTCTGTCTCTATCTATCTGTCTGTCTGTCTCTATCTATCTGTCTGTCTGTCTCTATCTATCTGTCTGTCTGTCTCTATCTATCTGTCTGTCTGTCTCTATCTATCTGTCTGTCTGTCTCTATCTATCTGTCTGTCTGTCTCTATCTATCTGTCTGTCTGTCTCTATCTATCTGTCTGTCTGTCTGTCTATCTATCTATCCATCTATCTATCTGTCTATCTGTCTGTCTATCTATTTATCTGCCTATCTATCCGTCTATCTATCCATCTATCTGTCTGTCTGTCTGTCTATCTGCCTATCTATCCGTCTGTCTGTCTGTCTATCTATCTATCTGTCTGTCTATCTATATATCTATCTATCTTTCTTTCTATCTTTCTTTCTATGTCTGTCTGTCTATCTGTCTACCTATCTGTCTACCTATCCGTCTATCTATCCATCTATCTGTCTGTCTGTCTGTCTATCTGCCTATCTATCCGTCTGTCTGTCTATCTCTGTCTGTCTGTCTATCTTATCTATCTGCCTATCTATCCGTCTGTCTGTCTATCTATCTATCTCTATCTATCTTATCTATCTGCCTATCTATCCGTCTGTCTGTCTATCTATCTCTATCTATCTATCTATCTATCTATCTGTCTGTCTGTCTGTCTGTCTGTCTGTCTATCTATCTGCCTATCTATCCGTCTGTCTGTCTGTCTGTCTGTCTGTCTGTCTGTCTGTCTGTCTAGCCGTCTATCCGTCTATCCGTCTGCCTGCCTGCCTGTCTGTATATAAGATTTCTATTTATAATGAGGTTACATCATCTGTCTATCATCTGGTATCGGTCTATCTATCGATCAGCTTATTATACACAACTTTGTAAAAAATGTAAGTGCATTGTAGTAACATATAAAACCTCAAAAACAACCCAAAAAATTCACTGCACCATAGATAGGTGATTGAATCTTATGAAAACATTTCCATTTTACATGAAAAAGAAAGGAAAACCCCACAAACACAGCATTTGATTTGATTGATTTGTTTTTATTTTAATTGCAGTAGCCTCATATGGTTTTCCTAGTAAGTGGGGCAGGAATGTGGGTTACTCTCAACCGGCTCCACTTCGTTCTTCATGTGTGTTTTCTGTTTTGTCAGGATGGCTGAGGGCAGCCTGGAGGAGCGCAGTTTGGAGATTCTGGATATTCCTGATGATTTGGACGATGACCTTCTGTCTCTCTACTTCGATAACAAGCGACGCTCTGGAGGAGGGAACGTGGTCTCTTTGGAGAAGCATGGAAACCATGCTTTGGTGGTTTTTGAAGATGCAGAGAGTAAAAAAAATACATTAAATAGATTAAAAATATATTATATTTAAAAAATAAATGAATAAAATGACAATATTACAAGCATACGTGAGCAAAACTTTTGTTTCTCTCACACTAGCTGCTGCCAGAGTTGTCTCCAAGTCCCATGTGCTCCAGAATAACACACTGACAGTGCGGAGGAAACCACCAAAGGACCCTGGAAAGCTGCTGCTGAAAGGGCTCAATCCACACACTTCACTGGACCATGTGGAGCTTTATGTGGAAAATGTTACTGGGATGTGTTGTGAAACAGACTTCATCCTGTATCTGTCTCCGAACAAGGATCTGGTTCTAGTGCACCTAAACAAACCTTTAGACAAAGGTTTGTAGCTCATCAGTCTATCAGCAGTACATACAGAAAATACTATTGGCATACTTTGTCTTTGCATTACATAACGTAATAGCATACCAAGTGGTGTTTATTTGAATGAAATATTATAGCACAAGCTAGTTTTCAAGCAAAACATGTCACTAAAAGTGTCTTGGGTTTCACAAGATAATGTTAGTGGAAGATGTTCATGTTAATGTGTTCCTCTGCACCTGTGGTTCCTCTGATAGGACACCTGTGTGAGCTGTGTGACTTTATACATTCACTAAACTTCACTAAAACAACAGCTGCAGTAAAAACGATGAAGACAATTCTGAGAAAAGCTTGAGCGGCATTCGAACACAGACTTTATAAAAAGAAACAGTAAAGACGTTCATAATGTTACGAAAGATTTCTATTTCAAATAAATACTGTTATTTTCAACTTTCTATTGATTAAAGAATTCTGAAAATAATAAATATTATAAATAATATAATAAATAAATATTTTTCTTGAGCAGCAAATCAGCATATGTGACACGTGACACTGAAAACTGGAGCAATGATGCTGAAAATTCAGCTTTGCATCACAGGAATAAAGTAAATTTTAAAATGCATAAATTACAGGAAGTTAGTTCTGAGAAAAGCTTGAGCAGCATTTGAGCACAGACTTTTGGTTTGATATTTTGTATCAAATAATTATATTTTTAAGTACATTTTTAGGTGTGTCACTCTATCAGAGATTTTAGTTCTTATTAGTCATTGTAAAGGGGTCATCGGATGCCCATTTTCCACAAGTTGGTATGATTCTTTAGGGTCTTCATGAAATGTCTGCAAAATACTTCGGTTAAAATTCCTCAATGGTAGTGTAAAACAATACGTTTTTTACTTTGTCAGCTCTGTTCACAGCGACCCGTTTCGGTGCATGTCTCTTTAAATGATAATGAGCTACTGCTCACCCCGCCCCTCTCTTCCATTTTTGTGTATTCGGTGGCGCGTTGTCATCAAAAACAAAACTAATCCACTACGTCCTCAGTGGCTCATGTCAGGAGAAAGTGAAGACTGAGGACGGAAATATGCTAAAACAGGACAGTCCGTCAGTGGTCGTGGGCGGGGCCTGAGCAATATAAGGTCATGCTGCTCAGAAAATCAAAACTGCTTCCTAATTGAGACGGTTTAGGTTTTTTTGGGGATAAAATAAAGCAATAAGCCCCAAGAAGCCATGGTTTACTCCACTTTGCGTCGTGCCTAACAATGCCTCTTAGCTGTTATAAATTCACTGTAAACCATGGCTTCATGGGGCTTATTGCTTTTATAAAACGGTTATTCCATATACGTAGTTAGGTTTCACAGAATAAAACAGAGCAAATAAAGTGTAACGATATTAATAAAA